CTTTGCTGACACAGTGTATTATAACAGGCCCCTTATGTAGCTTCCTTCCTTGTCCTCTGTTTCCAGAGGAAGACACCATTCCTGCAGTGCTGAAAGGGGTTGTTTCAAAACTGACCATGAGAACAGACCATAGGTTCCTGGTACCAAGCTGTCTATCAGAACACCTCTGCTGGTGTTAAAGGAATCAGCAGTTCCATCCCTGATTCTCTGCCCCTTTCACCATTTCTAAACTCCCCATGTTGCTAGTATGCCAAGATGTTAGGTTACAGTCTGAAATGGTTATTGGGGACTTCTGTGCTTTCATAGCCAGCCATCCTGCAGTGGCACTCCCAGGCAAAGCTGGAATAGGTCTGGAATAGGTTCTGGGTGGCTGCTGGTAGTAATGGCTTCAAGTCCAGGCAGGCTGTGGTCTCAGAAACATTGCTTGTTGATGCCTTCCCTGGGGTGGGGGTGCCTGATCAGTGGCCTGTGGAGACTAGGTTGTCCTGCCCTGTGGAGCACCATGTAGAGGCTTTTGTTAAAGCTGGGCGTGGGCAGGGCCAGCCCTGGGCTGGAACTACTCTCTGCTTACATCTCATTATGTTATCTGTGAGGATGAAGTTTCTAGGCTGGAGCGTCAGCAGCAGGAGCTCTCCCACAGCTCTGGAGATGGGAAGTTTGAGATTGGGTGTCTGTGGCTTTTGTGCTCTCTCAGTATGACTTGGGTACAACCTTCGGCTTGCAGATGGTGGCTGTCCTGTGTCCTCCAACAGTCCTTTCTCTGAGCATCAGAATTCTCATCTCCTGTTCCGAAGAAGACATTAGGCTTCCCTGCTGACCCCATGTGTCCTCTGTAAGTCTTGTCCTGATGTCATCTCATCTTGAGGTCCTAGAGGTTCTGTCTGCAACAGATGAGCTTGACAAGGACTCAGTCTAGCTCTTAAACCAGGGCTTCATAATGAAGATGGTTGAGTGGTTTTGCCTGGCCATCCAAAGTCCAGAAACAGGTCTACCTGCCTAGGGTCTATGCTCTGGTCATAGTGCATGTTCACGATGGAGGTCATGTGTCACATGGATAACTAGAAGTGAATCTATTTCACAGGCACCAGTCTCCTTGAGTCTGGGCAAGCCCTGAACCATACTCTGGGAGGTAGAGGCCATCATAGTCTTGGCTGCTCCAGAGCATCTTATCTAGTGGTAGAGACAGGTTGGTACCAAAAGTGTGATCAGTTCAGGACTGTGAAAAGGAAAACAGGGCTGTGGCAGGGCTTTGATGTCACAGTGCGTCCCCAATCAACAGTGAATGTGTGGGCTGGCTTTGTGTATGAGAGTCTTAAAATTCAGTGATTCCTTCCTTCCTTCCTTCCTTCCTTCCTTCCTTCCTTCCTTCCTTCCTTCCTTTCTTTCTTTTTTTGAGGTATGAAGGGTTTGTTTGGCTTATCACATGTCCAAATCATAGTCCATCAGTGAGGTAAACAAAGAATGATGCTTTTTGGTTTGTCCTCCATAGCTTATTTTGCTGCTTTCTCATACAACCCGGGACAATTAATCATGAATATGCCCAAAACTTGCCTACAGGCCAATCTGATGGACACAGTTACTCAATTGAGATTTTCTCTTCCTAGATATGTCTAGGTTTGTATTAAGTTGACAAAAGTAACCTGAACAGGGAAATACTAAATCTTAATAAAACCATTTAATATCAAAGTAATTAAGTAATATCAAGGTAATTTGCTCTGTCTCCATCCCTGTACTATCCAACTTAATACTTTTGTATTCAAAATTCAGTGCTTTCTATAGAAAACAAATGGTTGGGTCTAATTTTGGATCTGCTCTGGCAGTTTCTGCTTTCATGTGTGCGTCTACAGCTTTTCCCCACCTGATCTTTTTGCTGGAGTCATTTTCACATGACCCAAGTTTAAAGGTGTATAGAATAAAGCACACAAATCAAGTATTTACTGACAATAAGTCATAAGAAATTTACTTTAAAACAATTCTTTTGTGCTCAGATAATTTTGGCATCACAGGGGTCACCTAAGACCATTTGGAATATTTACATTATGATTCATACAGTAGCAAAATTACAGTTATGAATTAGCAACAAAAATAATTTTGTGGTTGGGGGTCACCACAATATGAGGAACTGTATTAAAGGGTTGCAGTATTAGGAAGGTTGAGAACCACTGCTCTATAGTATGCTGTGGAGTCTGGCTTCCTCTGAATGCTTCCCCCCTGCATCGCCCTCCCCCCTAGCCATCGGCCTTCAGCAGGCTTTCCCTGAGCTGCAAGTACCCAGTACACTATTCTTTCAGCTTCAGTAAACTGGCGTCTTGTCAGATAGGTTAAGAATAGAAAGTGCAAGATTTTATTGTGTTTACTTCTCCCCTGTCTAGAGCGTTTTCCTTTTTTATGTAGATAATAGTTTTAAAATATTTTATGTCTTTCATTTTTTCATTCTCCTGCTTAGTCTGAGGTATTATTTTGGTTTTGTAGATAGTCTCACTATGTAGCCTTGGCTGGCCTGGGACACCTGCATAGCCCACACTGGCCTGAAACTCAGAGTGATCCACCTGCCTCTGCCTCCCAAGTGCTGGGGTTAAAGGGTGCACTGCATGTCCAGCTAGACATAGTTTTTGACCTATAGGTCATTGTTCTTCTCGCTGAAGCATTTCTCTTACTAGCCATCCTAAAAAGGGGAAGTCTGCATGGTGTGTCTGATTTCCTGGTTCTCAGTCTCTGAAGTGTAATTTCACAGGTGACTGAATTGCAGGCTGACTTTGCCCTCCAAACATCATTTTGCTCCATTCTTCCTCATGCCGTTTTTTTGCAGAGACACCTGCTGAATTCTTACCCTTGTTTTCCTTGCTTTTGCAGACAAGATGTTTCCCCTGGTCTTGTTTTAGGAATTTTTCCCCCTCCATCTTTGATCATCTGCAGCTTGCATATGATATACTCAAGTGCAAATTCACTTTGGGGATCTGCGGCTTGGTTTCTGATAGTAGTTTGTAGAACTACACACGACTTCATAGTCCTGTGGTTTTCCTCTTATTCTTCCATTCCCCTCTATGTTGACTAGTTTTGTGTTAACATGGCATAAGCTAGAGTCCTCTTAGAAGAGGGGACAACACTTGAGACAATGTCCCCTCCAGATCGGTCTATGAGTGAGCCAGTAAATAAGCAGTTCTCTTTGGCCTGTGCATCAACTCCTGCAGCCCCTGCCTCCAGGTTCTTGCCTTGTTTGAGATCCTGCCCTGACTTTATTCAGTAATGGAGTGTGATGTGAAAACTACAAGCTGAAATAAGCCCTCCTAAAGTTGCCTTTGGTACATATGATCACAGCTATTAACCCAGGTAATACACCTCAGTGTTCTACTGTTGAAACTGTCCTTCAGTCCTTGGACAGTCTGGTTCCTTTCTCCTATTGTGTTTTCCATTGCTCCCCAGGTTGAAGATACTGTGTTAGTACCTGTGAGCTCATGGACTCTCTTCAGTTTGGGATACACTGTTGCTGTATTTGTGAGCTTACGGATTCTTTGGCTCTGTACAGTTCTACAAGAGCATGTGGAAGACTTGTTCCAGTTCTCCAGTGGTGTGTGTGTGTGTGTGTGTGTGTGTGTGTGTGTGTGTGTGTTTTAATTTGGACATCTCTTTCACCTTTCCTGCATTTTTCATCTTTGCTTACAGACCATCTGTTCTTGCATGCTGTCTACTTCTTCCTCTGAGGCCCTTTGCATGTTGTTCAGCATTACTTTAAAGTCTAAGTCTTATTCTAACCTCTGATGTTTTCCCTTTAGTATACTTTATACCATTTTGTTGGGAGCTGGGACTGATGCAAAGGAACTGGAGCTGGTACAGTGAGTTGGTCTTTGCTTCAGGCTATCTGTGGGGCATCACTTTGCCCTATGATCTCAGTTCTCTGATGGATCCAAGAAATGTCCTCATTTTCATTTTGTTTATCTGTCTTTGGACTCCAAATTTCTTATGTGTTGGATCAGAAATTATCAGCCTCATTTATTTCCCCCTACATCTTCCCTTCCTTTCTTTCTGCATCCTTCCTTCTGATGTATAATCTCCATTTCTGTTGGTCATCACTTCAGTAATGTGGCCATGGGGCAGGTAATGGTCTTGCCCTGACTGGAGCGTCTATTGTTTTGGGGACAGCAGGGTGGGGGTAGTTGGACTGGACCCTTGATGTGGAGGCCTGATGTCCCAGAGCCTGCCCATTCAGAGACCTCACTTGCTTGTCCTGTGCTGCTTTTAGACACAGCAGGATGATCAGGTCAGTACCAACTCCCAGTATAAACTGTGTAACCCAGCACTTGGCTGGTGTGTGCCTCAGTTTCCTCATCTGTAACATGGATGGCACGATTTACTTTGTATAGGAGGAACAATTAATTATGAGGCTGAATCATCCATCTCAAAGTGTGACTCTGACCTTGCTCCAGAGTTACTGGCAGGTGGGGGCACAGTACACATTGCTTCCTGCCTCTTGTCCTGTGCCATGTGCTTCAGGCTCTAGGTTGAGACCCTGGGATGCTTTTAGAAATATCACCCATGTGCTGCACGGAGGCTTGCATGCTGTGGTTCACAGATGCACAGGTGAGGTCCTGCATTCTCAAGAGGCCAGGACTAGAGCAGAGCTACACAGTGTGGTCCTCTGAGGGCATCATTTGGGAGTTGGCTGGAGATGCCTGTCAGGCCTCAAAGATGGTGAGAGTCTGCCTATAACATCTTCCAGGTGATTCTGAGGTAGCGTCAATGAGCTATGGCAGGCCAGGCTTGTGAGTGATAGACCCTCTGAGGGTGAGGCAAGTATTTAGCCCTGGGGTACCCAGGCTAGGAGGACACCTACTATGTGCTTACTCAGTCTCTCTTCTCCCCATACAGAATCGCAAGTGATGGTGTGCATAGAGGACAAGCGGAGCCCTGTTCGACTGGTTAGCACGGCAGAGCTGGTAGCTGTGCTTGCTGGTGGGTGGGCGTGAACCACAGGACTTCAGTGTCTCACTCCAAGAGGAAACATGTCTAAAAAGGGACGCAGCAAGGGTGAGAAGCCCGAGACGGAGACAGACTCTGTGCAGATGGCCAATGAAGAGCTACGTGCCAAGCTAACCAACATCCAGATAGAGTTCCAGCAGGAGAAGAGCAAGGTAGGGCAGGGCCTCTTGTGCCATCTCAGGCTGGGCTGTGAGCAAGTGCTGGGTTGTGAGCCCTGGGCTGTACTGGGTATTGAAGCCTTAGCTGCTCCTCCTGAGAACAGGAGGCAACAGTGCAGAACAGACTACATGGCTGCAGTTTTCTTTCACATGTTGCCTGTGACTTGGTAGGGATGCAAGAGTCTTTATATTTCAGCATCCCTTCCGTGCAAGATGGAGTTATAGTGTTGGAATAGTGCCTGGCTGGGGACTCACATACTTCAGGAAAGCAATAAGGCATTGATGTCAACTCAGTACCATCAGAAGACTCCAGCTTTCTGGGTCATATACCTGGTGGCCTTCCTCCTCAGGTCAGCTAGACTGGCTTCCTGATCTTGGTGATGTCACCGACTTAAGTCACTATTAATATAGCAGCTACAGGGGAAAACCTGCTGCCATAGCCTTTTCTGTGGATGCGGTTGTGGCATGGGAGGGCCTGAGGTCCCTCATGGTAGGGAAGTCATAGCTGGATCCTTGGGGAGCTGGTTACATCACCTTCACAATCAGAAGCAGAAGGCAGTTAGGATGAACTTTCATCTTGCTTTCTCCACTTTTATGCAGTCCTGGACACCCTGTCCGGGGTGCGCCCACTGCAGAAAGGTCTTGCCATATCAATCGATATAATTAAGAAAATCCCTCACAGACATGCCCAGAAGTTCATCTCCCCTAACATCTGCCAGGTTGATAGCTAACACTGGCCATCACAAATGGGATTTGGACCCGATATAATGTCCTCAGTTTATACTAATCTCATTTTAGGTCCTGTCACCAATCTAATGCTTTACTAACACCCCAGTATTTAGAACGTTAGCCTATCTGTTCTGGGAGATATTATTGAGCCCCCACACAGTGCGGATTATGGACCTGTCTCCTATCACCAAGGCTGCCTCTCAGCTCTAGGACTTGTGGGGATCTTTGCCTAGCCATGTCCTGGCAGCCGTCTCCTCCAGGCTTTCACCTGCAGTCTCCATAGGGCTTTGCCTGTTCAGTCACTGGGACAAGTTCTGTTCTCAGGGAACTCTGTAGAGCATCCCCCAGGCTAGCATGAAAAGCACAAATGTGAACTTCACAATTTCATTTAGGCATCATTGAACACGATATCACACTAACCAGCAAGGTCTTGTTAAATGATGTTCTTATGTTAGCAGAGGGCAGGTATTAAAGGCTTCAGGGTGAAGGAGGAATGTGGGGTAAGTGTTCTTTCCACCATTCATTCAGGGAGCGACCTGCACGTGTACTGCAGCTTGTAGTGAGCTTGGAGACCTGCATTTGCCATGAGGTGACTCAGGAGCAGCCCCTTCCCTCAACTGGTGGTGTAGAGACATGCAGGAGCTAGAGGTGCCATAGTGCACCTCTCACCTCTCAGCTCATGCAGGGCAAGCTGGGCCTGTGAAGGCTTCTTGAGGCCATCTTAGAGCTGGCACCAAGGATTTTGCTAGTTGGAGAGGAAGCAAATAGATTTGCACAGCCACAAGTGTTCAACAGCCCCGGTGAACAGTCCCAGTGCCAGTTGGGGACAGGATGAGATGGGCATGTGGCTGGTAGGGTAGAACTCTAAGCCTGAAAAGTCTGAGGTAATGTGGGGAGCACAGATAGAAGAGGAAAGGCCACACAGGGTCTGGCTGTAGCTTGCTGGTGATTTATTAGATCTCACAGCAACCAGGCCATGGTGTCCACCCTGAGGCTGGCACCAGCCTTGGGCTGCAGAAGTGAGTCAGACATTGATGGCTGGATGGCCTTGGTGGGGTGGGAGTCTCATCCCAGGGCTTGGGTGTCAGGACCCTGGGCTCTTATGGTAGCTGGTGTCGTAACTCCTAGGCCTTGGATGTCAGGCCCTTAGCTCTTTAAGCTTGACAGTTCCCTGAATTCTGCCAGCCGCTAGGAACTGCTGTCTCTGGCCTTTGGCTCTTGAAGCCTGTCACCTTCTGTTGTCTTGACTCTCCTCCTTCCCTGTACTTCCACTGTCTTGAGCTGTCTCCTGCCTGGTCACTGTCTATGTCTCTTCTGGCTTCTTGATTCTGGTGCTGCCACTGCCACCACCAAGACAGCAGCTGCCACCACTTCTACTGCTACCCTTACCTGCTTCCCCTGCCCTTCCCACTATGGTGAAGCACAAAGGTAGATAAGACTTCTCAGGAGAACCTCTTGGAACACCAGGGCGCAGCATAGGAGGGAGGGTGGGTCCTGATGGGTCAAAAAGTGAAGGGTACAGCCTGGTTGTATCCTGGAGGGGGCGTGGCAGGAAGTAGCATGCAAATGTGGTATTAATAATTTCTACCAATCACAACACAACTTCTAGGTCTACCAAGGTCTAATAGGAGGCTCTTTACTGCATCAGTAACAATCTTTCTTGAGTGAGGGAAGTGCCCCCCTCCAGTGAGATAGCTGCAGGGTGAGCCAGGTCCTCTGTGTCTCTTCTGGCTTTTTAGAGTTCACAAAGCCCCAGGGCTGAAGCCCCTTGTGTTAGTTCCTCTTCTCATTGCTGGGACAACAAAGATCTGACAGAAACAGCCCAGGGTGGAAAGTTTTATGGAGGACAGGTTTGTTCTGACACACCCTTTCAGAGGACCCATCCACTGTGACTGGGAGGAGCGGCAGAGCAGAGCTGATGGTTCATATCAGGGAAGCAGAGCCTAGCTGGAGTTCTCCCTTTCCCTCATATTCCGTCTGCGCCCCCAGCCCATAGGATGGTGCTTCCAACTGCTAGGTGGGTCTTTCCCCCTTAGGGAATCCTGTCCAGGGACACCAGAACTGGCACCTCATCTCCAGTGTGAGCCTAAATCCAGTCAGGTTGATGGTGAAGCCTGCCCTTTGTCAGCCTGACACACAACCACCTCTCTTTAAACCTTAACATTACCTCCTGGACCCCAAACGTCTCATTCATGTCCATCTCCGACTGTAAAATGCTTTCAGTCTATGTCCACGAGTTCCCAGAATCACAATACTTCCAAGACTGTTTAAAGTTTAAAGCTCTGCCGAGACTCAAGGCAACCTCTTTGCTATGAAACCTTGTAAAAGTAAAACAAACTTACATGTTTCCAAAATATCATGGACCAGGGCCATGAAAGGAGATGTGGGAACAAAGCAAAACAGACTGAACCTCTGAAGGGCAAACATGAAATCCTGTGGCTCCGTGTCTAGCATGTGTTATCAGGGTGAGAGCTCTGAGGACCTTGGGCAGCCCCACCCCCATGGCCTTGTCATTGGAAGCCCCTGTGAGCTGTGCCCTGGGCTGGCTTCCCTTCTTGTCTTCAGCTGTCCTCAGCAGCTGTTCCCCATTGATGGCATCCCTAGCACCCTGATATCTGTATTGTGGCTTAGGCTTCACCCTCAATTGACACACATTGATGCCATAGCTGTTTCTTGAAGAGACACATTGCCTGGCTTCGAAGACTTCCCCTTAAAATCTAGGTGGACACTACCATGACTCTTGTATTCTACATGCCTGTAAGCCCAACACTAATGGACAATGCCAAGATTGGTTTCTAGTTGGAGCCATGGGGACTGTAGTCTCTTAGTGTATGCCTGGACAGCTGAACCTAGGAAAGCACTTCCTTTCACAGCCATGTGTGAGCAGGTTCCTTAGCTGCTGGGTCTTCTTCAGAGAAAGGAAGTCTTTCAAATGAGTTCAGATTTTACACCAGAAGCCATTAGCAGTGGAATATGACTAAGTCCCTCTTTACACAGTGCTGAGTGCTTGGTTTCTCATTAATGGTGGCGATTTCTAACTACCATGCCCTCCTGGTCTACAAAGTTCAGCTGTTTCCTTTTGTGCCCAAAGAGCTTGCTCTTCACATTTTTCTCTGATTCTTGCTCCCTATTTCCATAGAAAAGCAGAAATTGCCAGAATGTATCTTGAGTGACCTATAGTCCAACCCAGTCTTGTTCCCATCTGAAGCCTCCTGAGGGCAGTCTTTACTGTCTGATGTTCTAAGCTCCCACAAGAATACCCACTGACTACTGCTTACACCCATCTAGGGCTTCTCTAGCCCACATTTCAAACTCTTCCACATTCCTCCTATAAACCAGTCTAAGACGTAAGAGCTATAGTCAGGTTTAGACACAGCAATGCCCATACTTCTTGTGTCAATTTCATGTGTTAGTTAGTTAGTTTGTTTGTTTTACAATTATGATGACATTGGACAGAAACCACTGAAGAGGAGGGATGTCTTATTGGACTCTCATGGCTTTGGAGGGTTTTGTACATTGTGGCAGCTAGGAGGTAGAGAAACACATGATGCTCAGGGGGCATACCCCTTTTATGTCATCCTGTTCTGTAGCCTTTAGGATGGCACCACCCACATTCAGGGTTGCCTTTCTCCCCTTATTTAATTCGTTCTGGAAATGCCATCGAAGTCATATCTAGATGTGTTCCTTACCATCTCTGAGCTGATTCTAAACCCAGTCTGTGAGGCCTGGCATCACACAGTTATCTGAGGCAGACATAGCTGTCACAGGAGTCCTGACTCAGCTGCAGTGTTCCTTGCATTTGGAGTGTGTTGCCCTTAAAACATCTGTGAACTGTTTGAGTCTTGCTGTTCCGGCACTAAATTCACCAGAACTTCAGTTCCAGCCTTGGGGGAGGTGGCCAGTGATGGCTGGCATCACGTGTTGTTTCTGTGGTTGCATGTGATGTCAGGAGATACTGATCCCATGCATCTGCCTCAGGGTTCATTTTGCATCTTTCCTGACTGCTAAAAGGCAGATGTGACAGTACTGAGATGATGTCATAAAACTCACTTAAAATTAATTCCTGCTAGTTGGCTATAAATTGTGTGGTCTGGGGAAAACATTGCTGTTTTCTGCGGAAGTCTGGTCTACCAGAGGCAGTTTGTCTTAATGCTTTGGCACCACTGTTATAAGATCACATACAGAATGTAAGCGCTTCCGTGCAGTGTGTATCTTGGAATATTTGGCTCATTTAAAGAAATTGCTTCGTAGGTGCATCTTACCTCAGGCCATGTAAAAAGTTGCAGATCAGACCCAACATGTTCAGGCTGAGCACAGGTCCTGGGGCCAGTTTCCCTGAGAGGTTCAACCTTGATATCAACACACATGCATGCAAGCTCTCTCTCTCTCTCTCTCTCTCTCTCTCACACACACACACACACACACACACACAGAGAGAGAGAGAGAGACAGAGAGACAGAGATAGAGACAGAGAGAGACACCCAAAAATGCATACATAAGACATACACACACACACACACACACACACAAACACAGAGACATACAGAAATGAACACACACAGATACACACAGAGGGTCCCTCTGTGGGGGTTCTTAGTCTAATTAATAAAAGAATTTAAGAACTCACTCAAATGGAAGCACAGGACTGTCTTATTATAGTTGAAAAAATTTTCAGGCCAACTGTAAACTTCATCTGCTGCCAGAAGAAGAGAATGGAGGAGAGAAGGGAAAAAAGCCATGCTGGCATGGAGGTCAGACACAAGCTGACAAATAGCCATGTGGTGGGGAGAGAAGCTTTGATGAGAGTAGGGAAGCCCAGAACATTTCAGGAAAGTGGGCAGCTTGGCGTCCCTACAGGGCTGCCAACTATGAGCTTCTGCACCAGGGGTGGGAATTCTGGGAAGGAAAAGGACAGTGTTTCATTTAAAAACAAATTATTTCACCCATCTCTTTAGCATGGCTTAAGGTGAGCCCACCTTCCTGTGGGTGGATCTTTAGCTGGATGGCAGTAGTCCAGTTGTTATGTTAGGGCTCCACCCTGCCCTCTTAGGTGGCTCTGCCCGCTGTGAATCAAGTTCCTTGCCTGGGGACACTAGAAAGACTTTACTGTTTAGAATCTTCCTGGCTTTGGTGAGAGATGGTTTCTGTTCTTTTTATCTCTAGTTTCTTGTCCTTCATCATACAGTTCAGAATCAGAAGGTCTTCAAGGTTTGGCTTTCCAGGGAAAATCATAAAACTCATTGGGAAGGGAGATCCTGGATGGGGTTGGGGTGGAGGGCAGGGCTGTGGGTGTGGCCTGCAGGGGGAGCTAGAGGGTGGAGACTGGAAAAGTGTGGGTTGAGGCTCCTACCCCTGAGAACTCTGACCCTAACCCCTGTTCCTATTCTGGCTGCAGGTGGGTAAGCTGAGGGAGCGTCTGCAGGAGGCCAAACTGGAGCGCGAGCAGGAGCAGCGGCGCCACACGGCCTACATCTCAGAGCTCAAGGCCAAGCTGCACGAGGAGAAGACGAAGGAGCTGCAGGCACTGCGCGAGGCGCTCATCCGGCAGCATGAGCAGGAGGCAGCTCGGACGGCCAAGATCAAGGAAGGCGAGCTGCAGCGGCTGCAGGCCACGCTGAATGTGCTGCGCGATGGCGCTGCAGACAAAGTCAAGACCGCACTGCTGGCCGAGGCGCGCGAAGAGGCGCGCAGGACCTTTGATGGCGAGCGCCAGCGGCTGCAGCAGGAGATTCTGGAGCTGAAGGCAGCGCGCAAACAGGCGGAGGAGGCACTCAGCAACTGCATGCAGGCGGACAAGGCCAAGGCCGCCGACCTGCGAGCTGCGTACCAGGCACACCAGGATGAGGTGCACCGCATCAAGCGGGAGTGCGAACGTGACATCCGCAGACTGGTACGTGGTGTCTGTTCCCACAGCACCCTTTCCTTCAGACACATGGCGGTTTATGTACTCCAGGCATGGTTGGAGGTGCTGGCTTTCCCCGGTGCTAGTAGGCTTAGCATGGCAGGTCTCTCCTGCAGTATGGTTCTGGGCAGATCTGCAAACTGTTAGGAGCAGTGTCCTGTCTCTGTTGTCTATCGTGGGGCTTGTGGATGGGAGCTTGTGGTGGGGGCGGGGGGGGGCGGCTGTAAGAGAGGACCTTGGCTGCAGAGGCAAGGCTGGAGGTTCAGCCCTTCCATTCATCTGCACTAGGAGGGCTTTACATCTGGGTAAGAACCAGACATGCCACAGCGAAATGTAAATTGGAAAGAATCTGAATTTTTAAAAATGGGTATGGGGTGAGGGCTGTCAAATTTAGATGACCCGCATTTCTGAGGGAAGGAGGAGACCTCACTGAGCCAATAGCAGTCACCAGCTAGGCCTATGTTCTAAGTCTGAGCCCGTGAAGGGTGGGCTTCCCCAGGCATTGACCCCACTAGGAGTTAAGAGGTGAGTGGGAGTTTGAGCCATCTCAGTGGGTGACCAGAAGGAGCAGACCCTAAATTGGGCTAGCTCACCACGTTAATATTCTTCTCTCATCCAAGTACCAATCAGACCCGCCCCTGGCCCTCTGAGATCAGATGAAATTGGGCACCTTCAGGGTGGTATGGCCATAGACTTGTAATATTATTCTGAGCTCTGAAGGATGTGGAAGGCCAGTAAGGACCTGCAAGGCATAGTGACATCTTCCACAGTCCTAGAAGACACAGGAGACAGTGCTCTGTACATGTATGGGACTGTGATGGACAGCGTGTGCACGTCAAGACCTTGGGCAGCCTGCATCAGGGTGGCACAGTGTACTAACTTCCCAGATAGCTGAGATTCTCAGACTGCATTAAACAGTGATGTTTAGGAGAGCCTCTGTGAAGGCCAGGAGCTGTGTTAGGTGGAATGTGAAGAGACAGGGAGATGGGACATGCACATATTGACCCCAATTATAGCCAGCCAGCTGATATAGATGTAAAGAACCTGGGGAGGTAACACTGACCATAAACAGGGGCAGTACTTAACAGTAAAGGGTTGGCAGGAAATCCTAAAGTATGTAAAAGAAAATATTTTGAAGACTAAGAGAAGGAAGAGACAGACCCATAGCTAGAATTGGGGAAAACCTCTCTGAGCTAGTGGTGGGGCTTGCAGGCAAAATGAACATGACTCACTCAGGCAGCCTACAGACAGGGTTGCTCTTTGGGAAGGGACATACATCGCACACTTTTTTTGGGGGGGGGGTTGAGACAGGGTTTCCCTGTGGCTTTGGAGGCTGTCCTGGAACTAGCTCTTGTAGACCAGGCTGGCCTCGAACTCACAGAGATCCTCCTTCCTCTGCCTCCCGAGTGCTGGGATTAAAGGCGTGTGCCACCAACACCCGGCTTTACATCACACACTTTATCATTGTCAGCTATGCTTCACAACATGAGCATTCCCCGGAAACAGGGAGTGATGGATACTGGTGGTCAGGTGACTTCTGTTTACTCTGTCGGGGACCCCCACCGTGGGATACTGCTGACCACCACTAGGGTGTGGCTTCCTAACCCAGTTAAACTCCTGGAAACATCTTAACAGACACACCAGAGGTGTTTCTCCTGGGCGATTTTAATCCTGTCAAATTGTCAGAGATTAACCCTCACAGTAGCAAAGGCATCCAGAAAATAGGGGAGTAGAAAGTCTTCAAAGTCCTTATGATGCCAGCACAACCCAGATCCCAAAGCCAAAGATGTTAACTTTTAAGAACATAACTGCAAGGATACTAATTAAGTATTAACAAAGGAAGACCAGGGCTATATTGGAAGCCTAAGAAATCCTGGGCCAGGTTGAGTTAATTATGGAAATGTAAAGATCGGCTTAGTATTTAACTGATTTAAACCAGAGAGAATTATTTATTTGTTTGTTTGTTTATTTTTGGTGTTTTGAGGCAGGGTCTCACAGTGTAGCCTTAGCTGGCCTGGAGCTTGCTATGTAGACCAAGTTGGCTCAGACGCCTAGAGATCCACTCATAGAGGCCACCACAAGCTTTAATCTGGCAATGAAACAAAGGATTAAACCCCATGTGGCCATTTTCATCGATGCATTCCAAGTATTTTAAAATTCATCTTCCCTACACACTCTTAGCATATCTGAATTAAACAGGAATTGCTCTAATCCGATAAACTGTTTTTGTTTTTGTTTTTTTTTTTTGAAAAACCTGCTAACAATGTTTGCCATAATGATGAACCAGCTAAGGTTTCCCACTCAAGTTTAGGACCAAAACAAAGTGACTGTTACCACCCTCCTGTTCAGCTCTGCATTAGCCAGGGGGACAGTGTACAGAAGACCATGGAAGAAGTGAGTTCTAACGGTCGGAAGAAGGGGGACCTCGTTATATCTGAATGTTGTGATGCTGCTGTGGGATTCAGGGGCCTGCCCCAGTTCCCCAGTCTGTTTCATAGCACAGACTGGGTAATGATGGGTTTGGGATTGAGAAAGCCAAGGTACCACCAGGTTCTATGTCTGGTGAGTGCCCAGTCCCTGTTCCCAAGATGGCACCTTCACAGCCATGTCCTCAAACAGTAGATGGCACAGAAGGGCAAAAGGCAGTCACACGGTGGCTTCAGCCCCTCCCACAAGGTCACTAATCTCATGACTTCTCAGAACTAACAAGCACATTTGTCCAAGCTCCGATACTAAGTAGATACAAAATACCTTTTGTGTCTATACACTAGCAGTGGGCTGCTGGAAAGGGGAACACTTTTAAACAGCAGGGAAAGGCTCCAGGAACAATTGTAAAGCAAGCTGTGTAGGAGTTCCGCCAGACTACAAAGCCTTGCTGAGAAGAGTTAGAGAGCTAAGTAAACAGTTTCCATTAATGAGAATGTTGATGAAGGTAAATGCAAGCTTCCCAGAATCCAAGTTAACTTTTTTTCGTAGGCTATTGTGAGAATTTTCCTCTGGTATGTGTGTGGGTGGGCTTAGTAGGGTAGGGTGGAGGGTTGGGGTGGGGGAATGATGATGACCACTAAGCATTGTCTTACCTATCCTCATAAGCAACCAAATGGCAGATCAGTTTGGCCCACCAGAGCTCATCCAGAGAAACCAATGAGTTTGAGTTGTGGCAAGAGTGTGTGTAACGGTAATGCAGCTGCACAGGAGGACCAGCATGGATGATGGCTTCCCCATGCCCGTGCAGATGGAGCCCCTCTCAGTTAACACCCCCCCCAACCCACCAAGCCTGTATGCTCTGGCTCCTCCCTGAAGCCCTAAAACCAAGTTCTATTAGAGCATAATTTCCTGCAACAGGGAGGAGTGGTTGGATATTCAGGGCAGGGTTCAGTGACTACCCCTGCCCCTCCCATGTGGGGATTTCAGTAGTCAAGCTGAGCTGTGATGAACTTTTGTGAGCAGACACGGTGGACATTACGCAGATAGTGTTTCTGTTTGAAAAGTAGGGCTGTGCAGCACAGATATTGGCAAACAGATTCTAAGTTAGATCTAAGCATTTGGGCTCTAGAGTGGCAGGTGTGTGTGGGGGTGGGGTGGGGGGTTGAACCTAGGGCTTTGTGAATGCTAGGCAAGCATTCTATCCCCAAGTCATACATCCAGCTTTTGGAGTTACAAACCTTGAAGAGTGTCATATGTCTTATGACCTGAAAAGTATCATCTCAGGACCCCCAAGACCATGTTCTCAGCACAAAGGAGATTTATATGCTCCAGAGGAACAAAGGACAGGGATAGGGGTTAAAGACAAGAGATAGAGGATGAGGGAGAAGGGGAAGGGAACAAGGAAAAAGGGGCAGGGATATTTCCTCTGGAGGGACAAAGGACTGCCTGTGGATAGAGAGGAGACAGATGTGACCCATGGAAGTTTTTAAAGGTAAACCCCGTGTTATGATGAGGTGTTTAATTTTAATTGGGTATGTTACTCAGGTGAGCCAAAGGGGCTTTTGATTGCTGGACTTCAATACTTCCATAGCTGGAACTTGGTAGTCATCGTCAGGAGGAGTATGTGGCCAAATAAGGGAATAGACCTTGGTGGTTAGCTTTAGGAATGTTATCTAATGTTTTTTAGCAAGGCAGAAGGAATGGGGGAGAAGGGCAAGGCCTGCCAGAGCCATGTTCGCCATGCTCAAGCTGACTGGAGTCCCTTCATGACCAAGTTACAGCAATTGAAACAGTGAGGCTGAGGATGAAGGCAGATCAAAGGAACAGAAGGGGCTAGAAACAGATCTGTAAATATGTGACCATGTGACTCAGGAATAGGATATCTCTGTGGTGCAGTAGGAAAAGGATGGTATTTCAATAAACAACACTTTGACAGTGGGTGTCTATACAGAATTGTTTCAACTATGATACATTTACAGAGGAGAAAATACCTCCTATAGCCTCTGGGGTGGCTCAGTTAAAAAGCCCAGCAGTCCCAGGAAATCACCAGAAGCTCCATGTCTCATACATGGGACCTATGTCTTGGCATTGTGAGGCAAAGCGAACAGAGTATGCCTGCCAGTGTGGGAATCCCACACTGAGCCGTGACACACTTTGAAAAGGGGAGAATGAGATAAACATGCTTTCCAAGGAATGGGAACTAAGTTGGCAAGGAAGTTGTCCAGGCAAAAAGGGAAGATGCACTTAAGGATTGATTATCCATGGTTCTTAACTTAAACCTCAAATGATTGCTTAAATAAAGTATGGCCATGTGTGCAGCCCAGGGAAGAAAATGTGTGGCCCAGGGATGGGTGAGATCTGGACCATTAGTGAATTCACACTCCTGTGAAGTCTCCCATCACACCTAAGGTGTGACACTTTGGATCCAGAGCAAACAATAACAAACAAAAAGGGCTCAGGTGAAAGCTAATTGAAGAGGTAAGTTGAGATACTAGCAAATTTGTTTATGCTTGAGGAAGATAGGAAGGAAGTGTCACAGAAGCTCAGGTGGGACAAGTAGA